CCCTTAAATATCTTATATGACTATCACAGGAAAATCCCAATTAACCGAAAGAATATCTAAAAAAACTAAATATCCGCAAACTCAAATATCCCGAATAATAGATGAATTTCTCGAAGAAACCAAAAAATCTCTCCTCAAAGGTGAAGAAGTGAGATTACAAGGTTATTTTACTTTGAAAACTACCATTACCAAACCCCGTATGGCTATGAATTTACAGACTAAGAAAAAGATGAAAGTTCCCGCGAAAAGAGTGTCAAAGTGTAAATTCTCTACTTCCCCAAAAGAGGAAATTAGTCGAAAAAAATAATCTCCTAATTTTTTATGACCGTTAAGGAGGAAGTTGAACAACTAAAAAAAGAGATTGCTAAATTAAAATAAAGAATTACAAGAGCAAAATAATAAATGAAATAAAATCTTGGCTTATGCCTCCGTGATTTCAGCCTTAGCGGCAGTGATTAATTTATTGATTGCTTGGTTGAACTACCGAAATAAATAATCTTTGATTATTCTATTCTGAAAGTAAAATAACTTAATAAATGAATACTACTCGCACCATCATCTCCACCATCACCAACCGCAAAGAACTTTTAGACAAGAACCGCAATAATTTTCTCATCCTAGAATTAGAAAATGGAGAATCTATTTTGGTTTTTAACGGCAAAGTAAATCAGGAAAAATGAGGTTGATTAGAAGAAGGAAAGCAAATTAATTTCACAGTTGAAGAAGGCAAACAAGGGGCTAATTTGTTGGTAGATTTTGTGATTGAAGTAAAATAAGTTATATGTATTCTCAAAAATAATTTCAAGAACTTTTTATTTCTGCTATTTATCCTATTATTTGGTGATAGAGATAGTTTAGCGGAGCAAGTAAAAAGGCCTAAAAAAGTAAGTAATATTATGGTAACTAATAATAAATTAAAACAATTAAACTTAAATCCTTTGTCAGTGGCAAAGTATTTTTGGGAAAAAGGTATTGAAGACATGGCCATTACTCAACATTTAGTTTATTTCACCTATCTCGAAGCCATGAAACAAGGATATTTGCTCTTTACCGAAGAATGGCAAGCCTGACCAAACGGTCCAGCCGTGGAATCGGTATTTGATAAAATGTTCGATTACCGCCACCATCTCCCCAAACTTTTTAAGCCAATAAAGGATATTGATAATGAATTAGCACTCAATTGAGCCGAGAAAATATTTAAAAAACACCAAAATACCGAACAATATCTCCTTTTCGAAAAAGCCCAAAATAAGCCGTGAAAAGATGCTCGTAAGCCTCTTAAATCCGAAAAAGAGATTACCCGTATTCCCTTGGCTAATTTAATAAAATTTGCCGCTAATGGCAGGCAAATAAGAACTTAAAATGATTATTGTTTTTGACAAATTATTAACTGAATGTATTCACGATCCGATTTTGCATAATCGATTGAGAGAAGATAAAATTCGTTCTTTTTTTTCTTGGCTAGTTCGGGCTTTCGGTGATTACAATGACTTAACTTTTAAGGAAATCAATCAGCAACGTAATTGTCATTTTGCCGATTATGGAGCAAAAGTTAAAATCACTGACTTTTTTAACAAACATGCCAAAACCAGCCAAGTTAAAACCTTTGTCTCTTACGCCAACCTTTACCAATTATCTATCCCGAACACAGAAATCCGTTTAATTGGCGACTTAAAACGCCGCTATTTTCACACCAAAGAAAAAGCCTATAACGATTTATTCTCAATTCTCTTCATTGATTTTGACCACTCTTTACATAAAAATGTCAAAAAATTAAGGGCTAAACGGACTGAATTAATTTGCATAATGGCTAAAAAAAATTGCCCTGATTATTAATTCAATTTTAAGTAAAAAACCAAATAAAAGCCGCAAGTCTAAATAATTTTCCGCAAAATTTTTCTCAAAAAAAACTCAATTGAAAAAAATTATTTTCCCAAATTCCCTCATCCTCCCGCTAATTTTTTACTTAAATTTCTCTAAAAAATTTACTCCCTTTCCAAGTCGAAGCCTAAAATTATCAAAAAACAAATTACGAAAAAGAAATTATATACTTGTGATAGTCCTGTCTGGAACAAAAAAATATTGTCGGCTCTCCTTTAAGCAACCGACCAGCTCTCCTCTTATAGAGCAACTGAAATAAATATTTTTGAAATTACTATAAAACTACAATATAGCACTGTCCTCGGTCCGTATTGGAAAAAGATTTTAGCACTATTCAGAAAAAAATATTGAAAGTTCTCCCAAATTTGGCAACTTTCCAGCTCTCCCAAAAAGGCAACTGTAAATAAATATTATTCTGAACTTCTTGCCTTGTAAGAGAAAAATAATCAAAGATTATGAAATACACTCAGCAAGAATTAAAGAACGCTTATCAAATAGTAAGCCAAGATTTAGTTCACAACCTCGTTAAAATTAAAGACGGAGAAGCAATTCGCCTCAATAAATTAGGAACTTTTGTCAAAACTAAACAAAAAATTAAGGATTGAGATAAAAGAAATCATGTTTACTGACGGATTAGTTTTCGGACTAGCAGCAATTTAAAAAGAGAATTAGATGGATAAAAAAATAATCTTGCTCGTAGTGGCTGCCGCTTGTGTGGGTCTCTATTTTTACGGTTCGCAAGTTAAAAATAACGAATACCTTAAATTATTGCCGGTGGTCGGTGGTTTAGCTTTCGGCTTAAATGCTCTAATAAATTTAGCATAAAATTATGAATCAAAATAATCAAACAGAGAATTGTGGCTTTGACAATTTAAATTCAAATAGTCAACAGTCCAAACAAGAGTCCTCGGGCCTAATGAAAATGGTGGGTCAATCTTTACCATTTTTACCTCTATTATTCGAGCAATTTACGGGCCAAAAAATCCCGTCAATGGGAGGAACTATGTTTGAAATTCAAATGACCTTGCAGCAAATATTAGCCAATCAACAAGCCTTTAACCAACCCTAGCAAGAAGTCCCCTTGTTCTATAACTGGGGGATGAATTGCTAAAAATATAATATACTTAAAGTATAAATAAAGGATGAAATGGCCTGATGCAATAAATCAGGGTAAAGTTCTAGTAGAACACTTGCTAGTTGGCAAGAATGGCTCGGTTTGAGCCTTCGGGGAGACTAGGTGATAGCCTTGTCTAGGAACCGAGAAGCCCCAACTTCTATAAGTAGGGGTAGTTCACTCAGAGATTAACCATTCTTGAAAATAATGCGGCTAATTCATTCAACAATTTAAGTCAACAAGTCCAAAGTATTAAGTCCGTCCGATTAACGCACGACCGCGAAAGAAAACAGATTGAATTAAATGGAAGTGATTTTAATAAATCACAACCTTATAATTTACAGCACGAAAGCAATTAATATGTCCTTTTTCCCTGATATCAAACCTTTAGTTGACGAAGTTCGCGAACTAAATAAAAATCAGCACAAAATTATTACCTTGTTAGAGGAACAAAATAAATTATTAAAACAAAATTTAACTAAAAATGAACGATAGAATATTAGAAAGAAAAAAAATAGAAAGTATCGATGTCGGTCAATTTGAATACACCGCCGATAGGTTATTTACTTACGGAACCATTCTTGCTTTTGTCACTTTGGGTATAGTTTCGTTTACTTGAATGACCGTGCAACAATTACGCAAATAAAAATATGAATCCAGAAAAAGAAAATCAAAATACGCTTTATGCCTGAGCCACCGGAAAATTAGCCATGTTCACTATTGGCTTGTTCGCTGGTTATGCTCTTTATCGAATGGGAGTAATCCAATCGTTAACCGGAAAATTGTTTAGAAAAAAAGAGGAACAAAATAAATCAGAAGCATCCTCTTATTAACCTAGTATAGAATATAAAATTATGACTGACCGCTCAAAAATTATTCTCATGTGGGCCAACCAAGACCCTAAATATCCTAATAGTTTTATTATCAGCACGGATAATCAAAGATTATTAGGTTTAACTCGCACGGATAAAAAAGGCCAAACTTACTGAAAATTTAAGGAGCGTAAAGTTAAAAATAGTTCTGCGTCTGGCCCAGTAATGGATCAAGTGCAAAAATTTTACGCCCGACAAGCCAAAACGGAATCCTTAAATTATGATAAAAATAATTCTGCCGCCACAACTAACCCAGTTAACCAGCACAGTTAAAGAAAGGAGTAATTTTAATTACTCTCTTGTCGTAGACCAATTGAATAATAGTTTAGAATTGATTAAACCGGATAATTCTGAGACTACGCAAATAATCACCTATGTTTTAGTAGGAACAGTAGTGGCGGGATTATTGGTTTATCATTATATAAAAAACCAAGAGAATTTAGACTAATATGCACGCTTGGAAAGATTATCTCCCTGATTTCAAAGGAGCCTTAAATAATTTCTACGATGAACGCCTCAAAGACTTGGTGGAAAATAAAAGCACAGAGTATAAAAATCTTGCGGGAGAGTTCATCCAAAAAAGTTTAAATTATCAAAAAGCCATGTTAGCAATTGGCTGTGGAATTTTCCTATTATTGGCTATTGCTTATTTTTGAACTGAATAATTGTCGTAGACAAAATTAACTAATAAAATATGAAGAATTTAAAATATATCGCAATTGGAATATTGGTGGGCTACTTAGGACTTTATGTTTATGACCTGGCTACCGCTCGCCGATCCATTTCCTTAGACGACAACAAATAAATATGTCTAAAACTAAATGAATTATCTGATTTTCGATTTGTATGGTCGGTGGTTTTTATATCCGTCATTGGATACAGACCGGAGCCGGGCAATTTCGGAGATTCCAAGAATATTTTTAAAATATGTCAATCATCCCTTTTTTAATTACTTCGGCTTTAGCCGTCTTGTGTGGTATTCTCGTTCAACAAACTATTGAGGCTTTGATAAATACCTCATTAACGCTTTTGCCGTTTAATGTTAGAACTGTATCCTAGTTTTGTCCTTGTATGAGACATAACTCTAATAACGAAAGAAAAACAATATGAAATTAACAGAATCCAAATATACTTATTTAGCCATTGGTATCGTAAGCGGCTTAGTTCTGGCTTATGTTTATACTAATTACCTAAAACGTGAATAAAAAAAGAAAAACTCGGACTAAAGTTTGCCAACGATGCCTAGGACATTTTACCACTTACAAAAATTTTGACTATTGTCCAGATTGTGCCGCTAATGGCAATCGCTATTTAGTCCGGAATTTAACTAAAAATATGCGAATTATCAAAACTAAAAAAAATCCTAAAATTTATGACGGTGATAAAAATTTAACTTTCTGAAAGCAAGCTGATGAGAAAACTCATTACTTATTAGCCGATATTTTGAACCGTAAACTCCCTCTTGCTAATTGTCGGGATAAGAAAATATTTAGTCCCAATAATGATGCCGATTACCGCACTCTTTGCACGGATTATGAAAATGATTACGGACTTGACTTGCCAAAAGTAGAAAAAGTAAGTGAGGAAATTGCTTATGAATATCTATTCTTGGTCGTGAAAAGTTTAATTGGAGAATTAAAGAATTTTGCCGTTCATAAAGAAGAATATTTACAGAAATTATTTTAAATTATGCCCAATATAGAAAAAAATATAACTAAATTACCGGTAGTAGTTAAGTCGAAGACTAAAACTGCTCCCAAAAGTAAAAAAAATAAATCCACTAAACTCCTTAAACCTCGCACTCCTGTTTCTAAAGAAAAAACTTGTGCCTATTATGACTGTCTTATTGACCTAGTATCCTCTCCGCAAAATGATCGAACTAAAATCACTGAGTTAACTCATAAATGTAAATGTAGTAAAGAGAAATTAGCCAAAGTAAAAGCCGAGATTAAGCATAAATTAATTCACGAATTAGCCAAAAATTATAAAGAATTTGGTGAAAATTTAGGAAGGTATGTGAAAGCGGATATTGTGGGGTGTGCTAAGGAGTTGAAATAAATAATGACCGATTGCTGTGAATTAGCCCGCCAAGCCCTATATGTGATTGCCGGAGCCTTTGGAGTAATTTTAGCCTTATTAGCCATGTTTTTTGGTTATAACCTAAAATTAGGGGCTCGTACGGCTAAATTAGAGAAAAAGAACGGCAAGGAGCAAAAGCAAATTGACGATTTGAAAAAAGAAGTTGAAGAATTAAGACGGGGAGTTAAAAATTAGGTTCCTTTTTTATTCATTTCCTAATTTCCCTGCTTCCCGTATAACTTCTTGTTATGAATAAATGTTTACTTTGCCAAAAAAGAAAAACCTTTTTAAACTCTAATCTGTGCTGATGATGTCAATTGACGCAATGACCCCGCTAATTATGACAAAAAACGATTTACAAAAAGAATTAAAGGAAAAAGCGAAAGAGGGAATTAAGCCCAGCGATATCAAGCGATTAAAACGCTCCAAATCATTAAATGATATTGCCTCGGCTCCTAATTCTGAATTAATTTCTTTACAAACTGAAAACCAAGAATTAAAAAAGAGA